GGAGGAGGAGGAGTGGGAGGCGTCAGAGTAATAACAAGAACCCCAATCCTTAGGATATGGGGAATAATGTAGCAGTGATTCCGCCGTACTGCAACTTTGAAAGGTGCGGCAAAGTAGTAGTAGTGGCCTTAGTGTTGCAGTCGTAGCGCAGCGGTGCTGTAATAGTCGCACTTCAGTGCTGACGCGGTCGCTGTATTTTCATTACTGGCTGCAGTAGTTACTCAGTAGTCCACTCTTGCTGTAAGATGGTAGTTGCACGCGCGCACTTTTAGTACCGTGGTATTTTAAAAGTACTGTCGTGGTAGCTCTCTGGCAGTGCAGTAGTTGTAATATTGTAATACTATGCTGGTAGTGGCACGAGTCTACGATAGTAACAGTCGTGCTCTCGTACTGGCCGTAGTAGTCGTACGCGTTCGCGGCATCGTGGTCGCTCATGGGTCTCGCGGTCTTGTTTCTTGATTGTCCAATATGCCACTTGTCGTGCACACTCTTTTTTTTGCTGCTCGCGAGAGAATGCTTCCTCGACAGACCGTTCGTGACGCCGCGGTCGATCACGAGGCGCGCGGCTTTCCTTGTGGAGCTGCCGCTCGCGAGAAGATGACGGACACTGGTCTGAGCATCGGGGTGAGGAGCCACGCACCAAAACAAAGAAACGCCACGAGCATCGTCAATTCTCCAGAACATGCAATCGAGCACGATTTTAGCACGGGGGTATTCGCCAGCGTATATACATATATACATATAACTGCACATATAAATATATATGTATCTATATATATGTATATATAATTCATATGTATACATCTGGGAACTTCTCGTTCGCTTCCGTTCAAAGGACTGTATCTTGGAGTGGTCCTGGGTCGCTGGCGCCGGGCGGCACTGTTGCGGTAAGAACGAATGCCGCCCGAGAGGCCCGCGCGTCGAGACATTGGCAACATGCTGAGGTGTTTTGGCTCTCTTCGCATGAGGTATCGTCGCAAGTGTGCGTTCCGAAACGACCAGATTTGACATGGTCTGGCCCGTTTCGCTCGAGGCATCCTCGCAATGTTGGTCCCCCAGACGCTGCACGAGAGGTGGTCTGGCCCATATTGCTTGACACATCCTCGGGACTTTCGGGTTCGGGAATACGGTGGCTTGACGTAGCCTCGTCCATTTCGCTTGAGGCATCATCGGCGCGTTAGGTGTGAAGATGCCGACGGCGAGGTAATCTGGTCAGTTTGGCTTGCGACGTCCCCGCCTTTCTTGGCATAAAGATGCCGCGTGCGAGGGGGACCAGACACTTTCGCATGAAACGCCCCCGCAATCCCGAGCAGGTGCTGCGGAGTGCGAATCGAAGAAGGAATGGGAGGAGGAGGAGGAGGAGGAAGGAGGAGGAGGAGCTGTACCAAGATGATTGAGGACGAGAGGGACGAAGGGATCCGCTCTTTTTTTGTTCAAGAAGTGTTCTTGTTTTCAATATTCCTGAGGCAGTTTTCGTCGCCAGGGCTTGACGCGGCTCGATCGTGCCTGGTGATGCGGGCCAGTGCTCTGCCGACGAAGGGTGTGTCACGGGCCCATTCGCGCCCAGATTGTGGGGATGTCTCGAACGGTCCGTTTGTCCTGCGGGGCGGAGGTGTGTTTCTGAACCGTGTTTTTGTTTCGTTGGCGACATCAACGTAGCATGCCTTTCTTTGTCACATGCTCTTCTGTCTTAGCACAAGCATCCGCCCACAATTCCGACGCCCAACTGGCGCCTGCCTCGTCCGCGCCGCCCTTTTTTGGCACCCCCCCGAGGAGGGCTGCCCCTGGGCGACGGGCGCCGGGCCCCCGTGCCGTGCTGGCTGCGGTGAGTTGTACTGCCTCTGGTATGCGATCAGGACCGTACCTGGACATGTCTTATGTGACGGACAATGCAGCAGTATGTTCATGATGGGCTTGTTTTCCACCACCACCACCACCATAAGTTGGAGGGAGGAGGGAGGGCAAGGACGAGGAGGAGGAGGACGAAGAGGAGGAGGAGGAGGAGGAGGAGGAGGAGGTCGAGGACCCCCTCCCCCTCCAACTTATGGTGGTGGTGGTGGAAACCAGGCCCATCATGTTCAGGATGGCACGAGCAGCAGTGGCGATCAACTGTCGCTGGCAGTCAGTGTCAGAAGGAGCAGCGTCTGGCGCCTAAGTCAACAAACGTAAATTCGGTGCCACTTACACAGCTGCGTCGTCATGCCCTTGTCGAGGGGGAGGTCGCAGAACACATCCAGGAGAAGAGGAAAGCCTGAACGAGGAATGCAGGGTGGAACGGATGGCTTCTCTGCTATTCTGGCGCTCTCGCCTACCGCCATGCATGCACTCCCCCCCACCTCTCTCACTGTTCCTTCTGCCCCCTTCATTCCCCGCTGTCCCCCATCCTCTCACATCACCTCCATTCAGCCCCTCTGCCTCCTCACGCCCCCTCCCTGCCCTTGACTCCCCTGGGCGGCCACTGTCCGTGCGCTCAAATCGTCTTTACTCGTTGTCCGTGCAGGTGACACGTACAGAGTGCGGATCACCAAGTCTGAAGACCAGGCCATCTCGTTGGGTTCTGTCTCCAGCCTAGTCAGTGCGATGAGGCCTCGTGCACGGAGATCAGGAGGGCGAAGCAATGCATGGTGAAGCCGAGGCTTTCTGACGTGGTGGAGGAGGGAAGGAGGGCACGCGAACCACAGGGTGACACTCAGGAGCCCCGCGGGCCTGGCCCCTGGGCCGCGAGCCCGTGGATACGGGACGTTTGTTTTCGCGGACGCCCCGCGCGGACTTTCTCAGTGCGATCGCGTATCCACGGGATCGCGTCTCGCAGTCCAGACCGCGGGGGTCGTGGATACGGACATGTTCGCCGCTCGTGAGTGTGTGCTGTCTTGCTTTTGTCAGGGGGCGCTGGACAGCGAATTGCGCACTGCAAGAAACAGGTCGGCGGCGAGGGAGGGGGGGGGGAAGTGAAAAGGGGAAGGCCTCTGCAGGAGGCTCGGAAGCCCCTCAGCCGTCCCCGATGACACACCACAAAAGCCCTCTCAGAAGGCGCGAGGGCTTCTGAGAAGTCCCGCCGCCTTCTGAGAGGGCCTTCTCCTTCTCGCCTCCCCCCGTCGCTCGCCACCGAGAATTGCGCTCTGCAAGAGGCAGGAGGCAGGGACGTAGGGCGGCCTGGTTGTGCCCCGTGGCTGTCGCCGTCGCGGTGGCCTCGGCCTCGGCTCGGAGTGGTATTCGGTCGGCACGATCGACATGTGTACGGAAAGACAGGGTACGAAGAGCAGCAGGAATTCTTGTCCATGCTGTACAGGACTCGTTGTCGGCGTCGCCGCGGACGTCGTCCGTTTGAGACAGAACGCCGCCTGTCCATCAGCGGCCGCTGCCTGTTTCGGACCGTTTGTTGTTGGGTATCGCGCGCATGTTGTTCGTACCCATCTCGGGCGTCCCGATCTCAGGCAGGCAGGCACGAGGCGCTCAAATCACATCGAAGATAAACAATATACATAACCACAATTTCACGGAGGTCCGCGCAGTTTGTTTGGGCCGGCGTTGGGCTCCCTTGGCGGCGCTTCTGGCGCCGACCTTGGCGCGCCTCTCGTGCCAGAAAGGGAGTTCCAGCGCCGATTCAAGCAATCCGCGCGCGGACCTTGGAGAGATTCTGCTCATGCGTATTAGTTTGCTCCTCGAGTGCATGATGAGGGTGAGGGTCGCTGCCGACCCGAACTCGTTTCGGGTCGCACACGCGTTGGTTGGATCGGGGCGCGCATTTGTTTCTGTGAGCGCCATCATGTTCTCCTCCTCATGCTCTTTGGGGTGGGGTGGGAGCTGACGCCAGTCCCAGGCCCACTCGGGGCCTAACGGTGGTTGTATCGTGCGTAGCCCGATTTTAGTTTCAGGACGTTTCATCGGCGACCGCCGAGTGCACAACCAGCGGCGCGGTGCCACCAGCAGCAAGTTGTCGTACCTTCCGCCGCCGGGTGCCTAACCCGGGGCGCGACCAGCAGTAGGCCGTTGTATTATCGGCCGCAGGGTGCGCAACCCGCAGCGCGACCAAAAGCATGCCGTTCTGTCCTCCAAGCACGCGGCCCATGCTGCGACCCGTCGCAGGCCTTTCGTATTATCGGTTGCCGAATGTGCAGCTTGTGCCGCGACCAAGAGTGCTGTGTTCTGTGTGCTCGGTCGCAGAGTGCGCTCGGCTGCTGGGTGTGCAACCTCTGGCACGCCTCGCGCGTGTCGCAAAAACCCTGGCGCAACCCGTTGATGGCGACACCAACAGCGCAACGCACGGATCGCGCAACTATGGATCGCGCAACCCGCGCAACCCGCGGAGGGTTCAGCCCATGGCGAAGCCCACGGGTGGTGCAAAAGTCATGGCGCAGCCCATGGATCGGTCAGTCCGCTGATGGCGCGGCACATGGGTGGCACGCACCCTTGTCAGCTTCTGCGGGGCTAAGCCCGATGTGTGCTCGCCGTTTGGGCTGCTTGTGGGGCTCAAGCGGCGAGCTGTCTTTCGTTTCTAGGGCCGACGAGGAGGAGGAGGAGGAGGAGGAGGGAGGAGGAGGAGGAGGAGGAGGAGGCGACGAGAAAGCCCGACGCTCGGGAGGAGTCCTGGCCCCGCGGCCCGTGGCGCCTCGTGCCCACTCGCCCCCATCGAAGAGGCTCCCGCCGAGGCTGCGTTCAGGCGTTCACCAGATGGCTCCCCAGCCTCCTCCTCCACCTAATCCTAATCCTGCTCCTCCTCCTCCTCCTCCACCTCCCTGCCGCCGCCTCCTCCTCCTCCTCCTCCTCTTCTCTCCTCTCCTCCTCCTCCTCCTCTCCTCCTCCTCCTCCTCCTCCTCCTCCTCCTCCTCCTCCTCCTCCTCCGTCTCTCCTCTCCTCCTCCTCTCCTCCTCTCCTCCTCCTCCTCCTCCTCCTCCTCCTCCTCCTCCTCCTCCTCCTCCTCATTCCTCCTCCTCCTTTGCGAGTCACGGCCGTGGAGGCTGACGTCAGGCGCCAGCAGGACCGTACAGAAGCTTTCGAAGCGGAACATCAGCAACTACGTCGCCAGGTCCAGCAGATGCAACAGTTGTTGTCCATCGCCGAGGCGGCCAGCAGCTCGGAAGCCATTGACGTTGCCAAGCTCGCGACGTGGGACAGGCCGACCAACCCGCAGATATTTAGCGTCGGTACAGCATCAGATGTGCACAAACAGAGTCTCATGGAAGGTCCTTCAGATTGGCTCGATGCTGCCAATGTTCGCAAGGACTATGTTCGGATCAGCGGCCCCGACGTGCCAGACCAAGAAGTTTACCCTCCACTGACCAGGTTCTGAAGCAGGAGTTCTTCGCGCTCAGACTCTCACTCGCGCTCTTCGTGATTCCATAGGTCAGTACCGCAAGTTCTCGGCTATGGGAGTGGACGGGTACGAAACTCACATATGCATTGATACAAACCAACAAGCCCAAACAAATCCTACAGCGCATGGCCCCAAATGGAGAATGGTGGGCTAAATGACAGTTGGGCTTGGTCTATTGTGCAGATGTTGCCGTGGTGGAGGTCATTCCTGGAGCTGCTCCGAACGATCCGACCAAGCTTGCTTGGAATCCGCAGTCCACCGCCATTAACAACATCGACAAATATGCCGCATCCCAAGCTTTCCACAACATGTTCAGGGAGGTGGACACCTCCACGTGGTCATGCTCCTGATCACCGCTGGCGTCCATGGCAGCTTCCAGCCTGGGGGGCAGCAGGTTGTGTTCTGCCGTGATGCTACCCGTCGAAGAAAGAAGGTCTCCAAACTGATATCTCACATGACACATCGTAGCGCCATCTGTCTCCAAGAGGTGCATGGGACGCATGAGGCGCTCACCAACTACATCCACGAGACCCCGTTCGAGTACCAGATCTTCACCACCACGGGCGAAAGGCCTGGCGTCGGCGGCGCGGCGATTCTAGTGCCCGGGCATTCTTCCCAAGAGTTGGTTCTCCACCCGGCTGAACATCACCCGGTGTTCGACCACCCAGTTCTGGCTCAGGGCCGTGGCCAGTGCGTCTCGATATCCCACCCACAGTCGCAGAGCAGCATGCGCATTGTGAACATCCACAACCACGAGCTCGACCATAACCAGCGCCGTCGAATCCATATTTGTTGGAATAAGAATGCAGCATGGGCCCGGGGCGATGAGCTCAAGCGTCTAGCCGTCGCGATTGGGGACTTCACTGTTTCCGACCAGCCGAACGACCCGCTCCTCCTCCCTGAGGCGCGGCAGCCCCGTCTTTCTCAGACCGGGCGCGGCGAACATCACGAGGCGTTCCGGCGAGCTTTGTTTGCGGGTCAAATGACGGAGATTGCGACCGATCTCCCCAACCACTTGTCCCGCTCCTCCTCTTCCTCGCTCTCGACGATGAACCGCCCCTTCGTCTCCCTCTCACCCCAGTTTTTCTTTGAGATTGAGAGGGCCCTTGACCTGCTGCAGGAAGCCCCAGAGCTTTCCGACAGGCGTCTTAGCGATCACGCGATCTTCTTGCTCACTTTGAAGCCGCGCGGCGGCGTCCCGAAAGCCAAGCAGGCCATCCCGCCGTTCATACTTGACAACTGCTTGGGTGGCTGCGATATTGACTCCCTCTCTCCCCCCGCGGCCTGCTCCTCCCTGAAGGAAAGCATGATCGTGGCCGCCACAGTTGTCCGTCGCGTGGTCCAGCGCTTCCCAGACGGGGTAGGAGGGGACCACACCATCGGGGTTAGGTGCACGGCGCTCCGTTCAATTGTTCGTGTTATTTGGCGCCAAGACCTCCTTGCAGCTACTAGGATCCAGGCGGATTCTGAGCATGGCAAGCCGTTTGTCCCGAGTTTTTCTCCAGGACGTGGAGGGATTTAGGAATGAGGTCGTCGCTTAGAACACGGCTCGCCACCACCAGCTCCAGGAGCTGGCCGCGGCTAGGGCCAGGGCCATTACAGGAGTAATACAACACAGGGGGAGAATCCAGGAGATTTCCAGTAGGAGAGCGTTGCTTTGGCGGCCTCGTCATCGACGTCTTGTTATTTGGGACATTCGGGTTGTTGAGACAGGCCACCAAAGCGACGTAGTCAGGTAGCCAGGTCTGATTGCGATCGCTCTCAAGGGGCATTGGCAATTTGTTTTTTTCCGGAGCAGCCCAGGCCGGCAAAAGAAATCGAAGCGTTTCTGGACGAACACATGCCCAACATCTATGAATTACACGTTCCCACCTGTGCTGAGATGGCCCAGGATTGGAAACAGGCACGTGACTCTGCTCCAGGTCCGGACCGACTCACACATGCAGCGTGGAAGAGCCATCCCACGTGTCTCGCTGTGCTCTACCGCCTCCTCCTTTATCTCATTGGCGGCAACTCCGCTCCTCCGGGCCTCAACCACAGTCTCTTTGCATTTATTCCGAAAGTGGAGGACCCCAGGGATGTCACAGACTGCGTCCGAGCTCCAGGTGTCCTCAGACCTCTGACTCTCAAAAATTCGGACAGGAAGCTCCTTGCGTCTGCGCTTAATCACCACTTGCAGTACTGCGTTGCCTCTCAGACCCATGTGGTCCAATAGGGATTGTCAAAG